GGAAATGCTATTTCCAAGTGATTGTTATTCAGACTACTAAAAATAATTGCCATGAGAAATACGTAAGACACTGCAATATTTTTTTATTACACCACACTGGTAGCTTTGGAAAGGACCGAACAAATCGCTTAATCTTATTGCTCTTTGCGTTTCAGATTTCTGTTCTTTCTCCCTGAATACAGATACTTGTTTCGTTAGCTTCTAATGAAGAGTTTTTTTAGATATAGCTAAAAAATGCAATAAGACGTATATTAATTAATAGCATTTTAATCCATTCATACGGGATAGGAAAAATTGTTTTTTATTATCAAGAAAACTTTTATGAATTTTAACAGATAGAAAAAATAGATGAAAAGTAGCACAAGTAGTTGTTTTGTTTTTTTTTTCTTTTACTCTTTCCGCCCTGTGGGAATTAAGAGGACTTCTTATAGCAGGCCCATTATGTGCTACCGAATGGAGACCGACATATCCGAACGGACCACCCCCAAAAAAATTCCTGTGGATCCTTTGACCCATTCGGATTCGATTTCATATCCCCCAGAATGGTAGGCTACTACCTTGACAGCTCCGCCATCCGACCTTGTTGTTGTAGTAGTAGTGGTGGTAAAAGTAGTAGTAAAAGTAGGATTCAGTGTGTAATGTCCTCAACCTGTGCATGTTGAACATTGCACGCAAAATCATCGAAAAGAATCACAGACAGATTTCATTAGTGCCGGTGCACACGAGCAATATTTTGACGCAATGCCCATAAGTATATAAAAACAAATGGAATAATGCCCATGCGCTACGTGCGCATCGCTCCATTTGTCATGTTGACACATCGAAATATCACTGGTGTGCACAGGCGCATATGATGAGATTAGGAATATTGCGAATGTTCAGTCACGTGTGCGTTTCGGCGGTCAAGTGTAAAAAACTACAAATGAAAAGGTAATTGTGATCAAATACCCATTGTAACTGAAACCAGTTACAAGGGGTATTTGATCTAACTGGAAAAATGCATAACTGGGAAAAACTGGGAAATTTTGCTGCTCGTAAGCTGTCGTCTTTTGATTTAAGAAAGTTTAAGAAATTACTATAACGTTTCGAACGACACCTTACATCATCCTGTTATGAAAATAAAAAACAAAAATTCAAAAACACATTATGTAAGTCGCACCAGTTATAGAGTTATGTTGCTGAGACAGTAAAACAATATTCGAGTACAACAGCAATTTCGCATAGAAATTGAAAGTTTTGCCATGTGAATCTGGCAATTTCAGCGCGATATATTCTCACAAATATTGTAGTTTAGATAAAAAGACTGAACTTGTGATAATTGCGTCTCGTGCAATTTTGCATGAAACAGATAACAGCATATGAAATACTAAAGTCATATGTTTGCAATAATGGTTGATAAAACGACTGACATTTCAAATAAAAAATAGATTTTTTTATTGGATTGCTCCAGACTTTCAAGTGCATGAAAATTTTGTTGATTTGTATGTTGTGGAGAACTTGCTTGCCACGATTATATTTCGCAATATTTAAGATATTCTGCAACGATTAAATTTAAATATTAAATACTTTCGTGTACAGTGATACAACGGTGTTTCAATCATGAAAGAAAGTCAAGAAAGTGTCGCTACACAAATCAAGCAATTAGAGTTGCTATCTTTACACGAATTATTATGGTCATTCGTTGAATCTAGCCATTCAGGACGTCATCATAAATTTCAAAATAATGAGGTATACACTCGATTCTTCAGCTGAGATAATTAAGTTTATAAAGTGCTTTCCAACTCGAAACTCCCAGTTTAAAATTCTGAAATCCTCATCATGCCCAGTAATCCAGGATTCAGTGTGTAATGTCCTCAACTTGTGCATGTTGAACATTGCACGCAAAATCATCGAAAAGAATCACAGACAATTTCAGCATTTTTGTAATGCTATGGGATGATCTAGACCAGAGTGTTCTCAACCTTTTTTTACCCATGGACCCTTTTTCCTCTTAATTTTTTTTGTGGACCCCCATATCTCGCACAGAAAAAAAAACTTATATTTTGTTGTTACATTGTTTCAAATTGGAAAAATATTTTAATACTGAAGCTCCGAATTTTAGAAAACGTAACTACCGTATAAACAAGCACTTTTAATAACCCGAGATAACTCGGGAAATTGCCATAGCGTTACATAAAACTCGGGCGTTTGGATCCTCTGAAAATTTTTTTGGATTTTTGGATGTTTTTTAGGTCTCCAAATTTTTTCAAAAATTTTTACCCCCGCGAAAAAATTTTATCGCGATTTTAATTTACCTTTAATGACGCACGATTAACGCTTAATTGTTTTTTAATGTGATTTTTTTTTTATCAAATTTGATTCATCGTTCTAAAGTTCTAGTGCATGGATTTTACTTCGGTAAAGTTATTTAAAGCTAGTTTCTGATGTCAAAAACGACCTCCAGTAGTTTTTTAATTTTTTGAATTAATATATTTTATTATATATACGTTTAATTAAGTCGGGGGGTCGGAAATCGCAATAAAAATTTTAATTTTTTAAAAATATTTAAAATATACGGCCAGCTAGTATTCACCCTACTATAAACCCTTTTCCTCCTCCTGAGACTTCTATGAGAATGTCCCGGGAAATCCAACACCAGCTTTTCTCAAGGTCATCCAGCTGGTAAACACAATGATTCATCGGTGTCAGATTTCACAGAATGGCGAGACAATGGAAAATAAAGTTTGAAACTTTTTCTTCAAAATTAACGCATTTCTTTCGTTTTTTTTCAGTTTTAAATATTTTTTATGTTTAATTACATTAATATCAAAAATTGGAAAGTCGCAAGGGAGTTAAGTTACAGCAACTTGGGCGATCTGCCTAGGGGATACCTTCTGGGGATTTTTTAAGGGTAACTGGTTCCAATTTAGGCGTTACAGACGTGGAGAAAATCCGGAAAACTCCACGTGGCCAGCCCGTCCTGGAGAAGCGCGAACCCACTGCTGAACACCCAGTGTTCAGGGAACGGAATTGCTTGGCCACTGGTGAGCCTTAATCCACAGGTGGAATCTCTTCTTTTGAAAGTGGCCAAGGTGTCCAATTCTTCTATACACAGGAGAGTTGGACGCCGTGGTACAATTTTACAGAAATGGTTTTGATGATGGAAATTTACATCTGCATCTTGAAATGTTCCAACTGTTTTTTACATCCACGACACAGCCTGTGACATTTCAGATGCTTGAAATATATGTTTATGTCCATTAGTCAAATTCAAGAAACTGCGAATTCTGACGTAACAAAGCTGCATTCAACACTTTTCCACCGCGATCACTTGCAATAGCGACAATTTTCCGCGCTTAGTCTACTAGATTTATAGCGGAATTTTTCACCACATTGACTTGTTTAGCTGTACTTCCACTATATTGGACACTAAATCCAGATATAGCAGACCAGTTAAAGTCGAAGCTCCCACCCACCCGGGGTCAAGTTTAGAGAGATCGAAAAACCCAGGAATTTTTCGTGGTAGACCTGGCCGTAGCTCGGTTAAATCCACTTGCCACCTCTTAAATATTTATAGATATAATTTTAGCCTTAGCGTTGACAGTTTAAAGCCCAATCATCCTAGAATTTTGTCTAGGATGTCGTGCTTTTAGAGCTCTTAGAAATGCCTTAATACAGTGGTGTCTCGTAATTTGAAGTTTAATTCGTTCCATTAGACTGTTCGATTTCCGAATGAATTTTTCCCATTAGAAATAATGGCAAGCCAGTTAATTCATTCCCACGCTCTAAACAATACCCATTTCGATAAATTTAAAACAGCAAATACATATAATTTAAGGTAAAAATAACGTAATTGAATGCCGTAATAATAAATTAAAACACGAAAACAACAAATAAAACACGTAAATACCGTGTAATAAAATGAAAACTGTATTTACTGGTCGCACACCATCGAATGGGTATCTTAAACATAGCCGCCAGATCTACCAAGTTAGACTACTACCTATCGGATATATTATGTTTTATGAGTTACGACGTGGATTTAATACCTTACAAACTGTAAAAATAATTCGTATTATATATGAATAAGATGCTCTTAAAGTTCGAACGAATTTAACGTTTTTTTGAAGTACGAGGTACCACTATATATGCTAATCGTTACTCGCTTTGGTCCACTACTTGGAAGACTCTAGCCTACTAGCTAGAGTTCAATATCAGATCTTGTGCGTTAACGGTTTTATATTATGTAAACGTATACAAGGAGTTTGACAACACGCTGGCCTAGGGCCTGGAAAGACATAATTGTTTCTGTAAATTAAGCTGAAAGAATGGCTGTAAATTTATTGGAGTTGGTGTAGAAGTGGCATGCCATAAATGTATATGTAAGTCTTTTTTGTTTGCATTTACTACAATACTTACCATAAATATTAAAACGTCAATTTACATGAGTTAAATACAAATTACAGTTGTCAAACTTTATCAAGGTAAAACAAATATACTTTTTATTCGTTACCTTTTTTTCGCGCTATTTTTTTATCTGCTATAAAAAGATTTGTGAATGGCTCATAAAACAAAGAAAATTCCAGCAACAAGTTGCGTAACTTTTTCGGCATTTAGGAGTTTTTATTTAAAAAAATAGCTTTTATATTATTAAGCAAAATAAATAAAATGTGCGGCGTCATCCATTAACAGATTCTGTTTAAAATCTTTCTACATTTTAAATTACTTTAAAGTGGCAAAAAACTTAATTTTGAGGGTAGGGATGAGTTATATGAAAAAGTATAAATGTTATTAACGAATAAAATCTTCATTAAATTCTACTTCTCTCGAGATATGACCCCCTCTGATGACTTTTTGGGGTTCAGGAGGTCTCAAAACGTGAAGATTTGAGGGTGAATTTTGACACGATTTCATTATATTCCCTTGTATACATAATAACCAGGAAAGTAAAACGGGAGGAGTTAAAGAATTTGCGTCACACGTAATTAATTACGTCAGAAATAAATCTCGAAGTAGTTTACTCACGTAAGAGAGTCGATTATTGTTTAATCTTCGGCCATGGCTTCTAGAATTGTAAGTTTATTCTAGAAATATAAATATTTTTATTACATTAAATTAATCTAGTACTTTATAAGGTTTAAATTGCTCGAATACGTCATTTAGGACGTGTTTGATACAAGAATTTTTAAAATATATTACTTTTTTAAAGTATAATATTAAATAAAATGACTTTAAATTGATTATAATTAATTTATTTCTATAAAATTGTTAATGTTTTATAGTTTATAGTTTTAAGGCAATGAATTTGCAGCATGCGTGTTTAAAGTGGCGTGAAAGTAGGACGTTTAGGGTAACAATATACCGTATTATTTTCAATTTTATATGATAAATACTTAGAAAAATAGTTAATAATTATATAATAATGTTCTTCTAGTGTTTTAGTGATGAGAAATTGCAAAATTAATGCGAGAAAAATGTATATTTAGTTTATTTGAAGGGCTGAGATCGAATTCTTAAATTCTTACTTTAATCAATGAATATTTCTTGAATTATAAATTTATTTTGCTCCTCGCAAGTCCGAAAATTTGCGAAATGAAACTCAAAATTAGCACTCTTAGCACGTTCTAAAAGTTATAAATTAAATTTTCTTTTAATAAGTGACAGAAAATTTGTGTTCAATTTATTTATATATTTTTATGGCATGGAATAGGGCGGTTAATGACCAAGGCCCATCTAACTTTTAATTATAAAGTAACTGTAATTTGTAACAATTTACTTCTTGTTTATTGAAAATAAATTGGGATTACAAAGAACGTATTTAATTTATACGCATCCCACTTTCAAAAGTCTTTTTTTTTTTGTGGAAAAAACACAAGATAATTAGAAATGAATGTGGTTTAGCATAAGTATTAAGGGTTATAAATAAAGTAAAATTAACAGAAAAAGTATTTTAAGGTCAGTAAAATGTAAAAGAATTATTTATTATAATAGAGTAAATGAATTTTAAACAAATAAAAACTTTTAAAAATTGTTTTTCTTAAGCTTATATTGAAGAATTGACATTAAATAATTACAAACCGAATTTTCCTTGTAATTTGCGCAATATCTCACAGAATGACTAGAAAACACCTGTGTAAATAAAGAAGAAACTCTCGAATCCCTAAACAAAAACACGGATTTTTATTTACAAAAGTAATAAAACACAAACTGGTTTTTCATGAAAGAAAATAACAATTATTTTTTAATGAATTTTTACATATTTTAGAGTAAAAATTGTTTTAAAAAAATAATTTTAAATGTTGGTATATTTCCTTAATAATTGTTTTACATTAACAAAGAGATATGTTAATTAAATATTTCATTTTATACACAATACTTGGAGAGACCTTGATTGCACGAATCAAGTAGGCTTCATACAAATCAAGACAAAGCATGATAAATGACATCAATGTCATTGTGCCATTGTCTAAATGGCATTCAGATGTCATACTCAACGTAATGCTGCCTCTAATTTGTTTTTTATCATGTTTATAAAGGTTAAAAAAATTTATTCTTTTATACACTAAACGACACGCAATATAACAGGGATCACTGCAATGTTAGGCATGTTCACGCGCTTGGGCCTACACATGCTTATATTGAAGTTTATAATACTGTATATAATTTTGTTAACAGTTTAAGTTTCTAATTGGGTGTTCAGAACATTATTATCGACATCAAGGAAATATAAAGAAAAACTAAAAAAAAGGAGGTAAAATAAACTTAAAAGTCTTCCTTGTATAGCCTACATTCAACAGCTTCAAGTACATTTTCTTAAAAAGTTCATTTATATTTTTAATTAATGATAATTAAAATTATAAATTAGCTTTTTAAAAGTATTTACTTGGAGCTGTTGAATATAGATTACGCAAAAAGAGAATTTAAAATCGTTTTCTACCTTTTTATTTTCCTTAATATTCCTTTGGTGCGCTAAGACATTTCTTTGTACACTTCTTTGTACACTAAGGTAAACTATTATGTCAATTTGATGCTATTTTTTCATTTTAAATGCGATAATGACGTAAAAGTTTACACTGTTTAGACAAAAATTACGTGATTCTGGACTGGACTGTACTTATTTTATGTTAAATTATTAAGTAAAATTAAAAAATTAACTTAGCGTAATTTAAATACTAAACTTATTTTATTTATTAATAAAAAAACGTAAACCTTAATGTATTTATCGATTGTTCCTATAAATAAACGATCGTTAGTGAAGTTATTAAGGTAGAATAGTGGAAAGGTAATGGATTTTGTTCTAGGAAACGAACTGAATAAAACCGCTTAATACTAGTAATTGGTGCTGTTTATTCCTGCAGTTTTCTGGATTTTCTTCACGTGTTTAACACTTAAATAAGGATTAGCTTATCCATTAAAAGTCCTCTCGTAAGGCACCCCATCTGCAGACTGCCCAAGTGTTTCGTTGCCGTCCATATTTCAATGCTCCACTTCAATCCAGGGATCGAATCCGTCTCTTGGATAAATTTACGTGAAAGAACTCTTAAATGTATAGGTTTAGCGCCCAACAGTGCCTATGTGAAGACTGGTAATTGTTCTTGGGTTAGCGCCTCACCAATATTCTAAGCCAATTAGAATTTACCGGTTATTGTTCACGTGTCTAACACCTATATAGAGACCAGTTTCTCATATAAAGTCTTCTCGAGAGGATAGATTGTCTAACTTTTGCTTTGTTGCATCAATCCAAATCAACACAATCTCTCAATTGTTCTTTTGAAACCTCAACAACTTGTTATTATTTAATTAAATCTTGTAAGAAATTCTGAAAAGCTAGTATAAATATGATTAATTATATTTAAAATATACATTTTATTTTTTAGTGGAAATGGCACGTTATAAAACCGGGTTTTGTCATCGATCCTTTAACGTTACTCTTCGATAAAGTTGGTTACCAAATTGGAAAGAACCCAGGATACTTTATCATAGTCATTTTTCTCGTTTATGCCTTACTCGGAACTGGTTTACAAAGAATTAAACTCGTAACCAACATAGAATACCTGTATACACCCGAGGACAGCGAGACATTTGTAGATAGGAAGTTAATTGAAAACAACTTTCCAATGCATCCTAGCAATAATTTTGATTATGGAAGAAAAACTAGAATTGGAAGATTAGCACTTGTTCACGTAATGCCACTGAAAACAGAGTCGATATTGAATGAAAAAGTATTCCAAGATGTCTTAAAATTGGATTATTTCGTTAACAGTATCGAGATAACAGGCATGGATAATGTATGGACATACAAGGATCTATGTGCCAAGAGCGATAACTTGTGTTTCACGAATGATTATCTATTGTTAGGCAGAATAATTAAAGATCTAGAAACTGGCAACAAGACAATTAAGTATCCTTTACAGATAAACAGAAACTCATTTAATTACTACGCCTCTAATCTTGGTGGAGTGATTACTGCAAAGGACGGATCGGTCAAGAGTGCGCGAATGTTACGATTGCTGTATATCCTAGATGATAGCTCAGAAATAAAGGATCAGTTATCGATTATGTGGGAACAGAAATTAAGTGAAGAGTTAATGTCATATCGCATGGATAATTACACCATAACTTTTTGGACTACGAGTTGTCTAGAGAAGGAATTACACGAATTGACTTTAGATGCATTTCCTTTATTTGTAGGGAACGTTATAATTGTCCTAGTATTTACGGTTATTACGAGTTTAAGTGCTGACTGGGTACGAAGTAAACCCTTAGTTGGTATGTGTGGAGCACTGTCTTCCTGTATAAGCACTGCGGCAGCTTTTGGTACCTTAATCTATTGTGGAATACCGTACATTGATATACATCTGGCCATACCATTTCTTCTTTTGGGTAAGTGTCATTTGATTTTTAAAAGCATTCGTAGCATTTAACTTATTTTTAGATTTTTAACAGGTATAGGGATGGATGACACCTTCGTTATGTTAGCAGCTTGGAGCAGAACAGATACAGCCAAATCAGTAGAAGAAAGATTGAGCAAGACATACTCAGAAGCGGCTGTTGCTGTAACCATAACATCCTTAACAAATATATTATCATTTCTTGTAGGGATCATAACACCGTTTCCATGCGTTTATCTATTCTGTTCCTACGCGGCTTGTTCGATATTCTTTATGTACATTTGCCAAATTACATTTTTTGGTGGATGTCTGGCCATATCTGGTAAAGCCGAAGAGAAGAATCTACACTCTGTTATCTGTTTGCCCATCAAACACAAATCTCTAGCACGTAAGTTAAGAATATTTTGTTAATTTAAAGCCGTTTCAATTTACTTGATAAATTTATATAATTTTAATTGACAGAGGACAGGAATATTCTCTTCAGATACTTTTGCACCGGAGGACCAAACCCCAACAACAGAAGAAGCCAAAACGAAACGACGAAAAAAGTTTTAGCAGCGGCGTTATTTAGGGATTACGTAGCACCCACTTTAGGTCTTAAACCAGTTAAAGCAATTATAATTCTGTTATATATTCTATATCTCGCCATTGCAATATGGGGGTGCTGCGTAGTACACGAAGGTATCGAGTTAGAACTACTGCACCCTTATAGCTCTGTAGCGATTAAGTTCCATCAAGAAGAAAACCTGTATTTTAATAGGTACAATGACAGGATTCAAGTTGTCATCAATGAACCTCTAGAATATTGGAAACCTGAAGTCCAACAAGAAGTGGAACACGTTTTACAGAAATTCGAAAATGCCCCTCACATTGCAGATTCGTATTTAACCGAATCGTGGTTAAGATATTTTCTAAAAATGGTCAAAGACGAAAGAAGTTCCACGTTGTTTTCTAATTTCAACCTCACTAACAAAATTGATTTTTTAATAGCATTGCAAAGAATATTTTTAAAAGCTCCCGTATTCAAAATATTCAAGAATGATATATTATTCTCAAAAAATAAAACTGATATCCTTTCTAGTAGATTCATTTTACAGGCGGATGGTTTAGACAATGTCGGACAGAAAACCGAAATGTTTAAGGATTTAAAGAGCATTGCTGGATCTTTTCCTTACGACGTAAGGGTATACAACAATTTATTCCCTTTCTACGATCAATTTTTGATAGTATCTGTCACTTCTTTGAAGTCAATAGGCACTGCTACACTCATCATGATTTTTGTGTCATTGCTCTTCTTGACTAAAATCAGTTGCGTGGTTATTGTCGTTATAGCCGTAATATCTATAGAAATGGGGGTGGTCGGGTTTATGTCCTTTTGGGGAGTCCATTTGGATACAGTATCGATGATAAACTTGATCATGTGTATCGGTTTTTCGGTAGATTTTGTGGCACACATATCTCATGCATATATATCCTGTCCAGATAATGAAATCCCAAATAATAAGTTAAGAACGGCTCTATACTCTGTTGGTTTACCCATATTGCAAGGTGGAATCTCTTCTGCACTAGGGATTATGTTGCTGATACTCATTCCAGCTTATACTTTTATAGTTTTCGTGAAAGTCGTGTTTTTGGTAGTCATTATCTCGATTTTGCACGCTTTGATAATGATACCCGTTCTTTTCACTATGTTCGACAGTTTAGGAAGGACTAAGAATCATTCCGTTATCGAAGGTTCGGAAAATGAACAAGCATCAAACCAACAAGAGCAGATGAAAAAATCCGCCATTAAATTAGTCAGAAGTTTATCAAATACTGTCATGCCCGTAAACTATATCATGTTTGAGAACATTAATAACAGTAACAGAATACTAAAAAGAAGGGTTTCTTCTCCAGCGACATTGAAACTAAGTGTTAAAGAATACACCAATTCGGCCTTCATGGGTGATGTCAGTAACGAGAAGATTATCGACGAAGGTCTGGAAGAAGTCACGAATTAATACGCTTAACTGTATTAATTAAAATGTACAAATTTCACTCATTTATAAATAAAATTTTGTAAATTATCTCTGCTTTAATATACTTTTAAATTTACACTGTATTCTTGACATTTAACCTGTTTCTCCAAAATAACCGGTTGCAAAATTAGAATTTGGGTACATTTCGTAATATTATTGTACTCGTACAATAAGTTATGTTCGTGTCCCTTGTATCGTAAGATAGTTGAAAGTAAAAATATTTATAATTGGCGCGATTAGAAATTACTTGGTCAATATTAAATCAACTGTACCTATTTTAGGGGAGATAGGACCACGAGATAGTTCTGTAGTAATTTTGCTACACGAGTTTTATCAACTGTAATATTTCCTCTGTATATAAACGCTCTTTTCGAGGAATGAAGAGCGTTTGCGTAAACAAAAGTGAAATCTGTGTAGCCTGGATGTTAATCCTGTCACTCTATCTTCTCTAAAATAGGCACAGTACTGATCAATCTCTGTAGGAAAGAACTAATGCAAATTATTAACAACATTAATCGTAATTAAGTATTATTGTGTTAGGTTTGTTTTCCAATAAAATTATTCATCAAATTCTTTTCGTGCAATTTGTACAGTTCTTCACCAGCTTCTCATATTTCAATTACTACCGAATGCCACGCTTCACCTTGCAAAGAACATGCAAACTACATTCTCCATTGTGATGAAGACTGAAGTTTGCACGCTCTTTTCTCCAGTACCGTACTCCTACTGTATAAGAATTTGTCACTGTATATTCAGAAACCAGGCTGAAATATTATAATAAATACGTAGTTGAAACGTTTCGAATACATTCTGACGTATTTTTGTTCATTGTAAATGGTTGATTATGTTTCGTTTCCGGATCCCCAGAGCGGTAATCCTATACCACGTTCTGCATAGGATTATCCAATTTTATACGTCATTGTGTTTTAATTGTAATTGTATCTCAATTTACCAGATTAAACAGAATTAATTGTGAAAATAATCAGGAAAAACATATCATTACAGGATATACTTTATTCAAAAGTACAGAAGAGATCCATTAAAATAAATAAAAATGCTTTGATGATACTTTATGATAAGATTATTCCAGATAATTTCAGACACAAACATAATTATATACAAACAATTTCTTTACTATTCAGAGAAATTATTTCTCCAGATATCAAGAAATTACATAAATAGTAACAATTGACTAATGACAAATTGCAAAACTATTAACATAGTTTTATGAACACATGAAGGTTTGCAATACTTTTTTTTTCACTTTCAACGCTAACTATCGTTGTTTTAGAAACAAATTTCGGATTTTTTTTACCGTAAATAATTTCGTTACTGTTACTGCTATTGTCTTCAGATACAGTATGAAACTTCACAAGATGATAATAATGTATTAGCACGTGATTATATGTACACGAAATTGGATCATAATTAGTAAAACTTGATCGAATTAGCTACCAATATGTTAAAGATTCATAAATAATATTTACATTAGAATTTGAAACTACCGAATGAGAGTAAATATTAATTATTTGCCAATATCCTGAAGCACACGTGGTAATCCTAAAATGTTGTTTATCAGTTCGTTTCTTCGTTTTCGCATGGGCAATTCCTCCATGATGGCTGTGCATACCACTCGTATAAGATCAGTCAAACACTAAAAATATATAAATTATTAATTATATAATTAATTTTTTTCTCGTATATTCTAAGTATTTCATAAGAATTACATTCCGCAAGTGTTAAATGATTATGTTTATTGAATTAAAGAGATTCTTGGCCTTATATCTGGAGGTTCGTTATTAAAATAATTAAATAAGCTTAATTTAAAATTACTATTTACGGTATTTTTTAGCAGAAAAATACTGTGAAGAGGTTGTTAACCTTATACACAAAAGGTTACACGAGTTAAACCAGCATGAGATAGATCCATGCCCTGGTTTCAATAAACTGACTTATCTTACTTCCCTTACTTAAAACAGTTAAAACAATTAAATGTAAGCACTTAAAATGCAAAATATATTATTTAATTTATATATATTTTTAAAAAATTCATATCTTACCGATCCTATCTGATTATCGTGTTGCAGATAAGAGGGGGTAGTTTGTCCAGATTTTCCATCTTGAGTGTCCGCTGACGAACAGATGACTACGGCCAAGAGAAGCAAACAGATAATCCACTTGAACATTTTTGAAGATATTCTAAAAGAGGAATATATAAATATTTGCAACTTAAAATATCTTAAGTTAGATAGCAGGAAGGAAGTTATAAGAAAGTATGAAGGAAGGAAGTTTCCTTTTATCTCTAGAGAGAAACTCACCTTAAGAGATGTTAACAGCAGAATCTTGTTTGGAAAGCGAATGGCCCCTATTTATGTTTTATGCATGCTTTAAACAGTAGGTGGTGGCTTTGTATATTCCACGTGACTGTTAAAAAGACCTCATGTCGTTCACGTGTTTAGTTATCTACAAAAGAAAACTGTGCACGTTGAAGACGATTCCATCTGTTTCTTTTATAATATATTCCCCACAAAATGTATATTTACAATATTAAAAATAAAATATAATCTATTATTATTCAAGAACAATTATTTTTACAATTTAAATAAGAAGAATACAAATAAATCATTTAAAAATTTGTTTTATTCGGCTGATTGTTTGTAATTCTCTCTGCCGTTAGGCTGTCTGTCTGGAAGATTTTTCAGAAAGTAGAAAGGTTTCAATTACGTGTGAAGAAATGCCACTTTATATCATTTTTAATATCATTTTCGCTGTAAATTTTTACAAAGTTTAATTATGAAATTAATTTTGTAGAGGTTGATTAACACGTTTTTCTACAAATACAGGTGTAGCATTCAGCATGCTATACTGAGTAAAATCACCTTAGCAAAGATAGGTGAGTACTATTAACAATATAAATACTTAACGCTTGTTTTTAACACCCTCTACAAGAATTAATTTTTGTTTTTAATTTATATTTATTTCTGTTTTAATTTTAAAAAGAAGGCAAAAAATTAAATAAAAAATATCCCTTAAAATAAATATGAGATAAGAACTAAGCACACTATACTTTTATCACGTCAGAATGACGTCAAAGTTTAATGCACTCAAATTGTCTTCTAATAATTTGTATTTAAATCTTTAAAATTTAATTAAATGGAATGAATTTAAATCACAAGTACAGTAAATTAGGATTTCTTTAGCATCTTTCACGCGGTTAGAGAAGGAAATTGCGAATTGCTATCAGTCGACCCTTCTATAACACTGTTGATAATTCCGTTTTATAGGAATTCCATGTTATAAGAGTCACTTAGATTTTACAAATACGTAAGCCGTTCACAGCCCGGCACACATATTTGTAAAATCTAAGTGACTCGTACAACATGAAATTCATATAAAACGGAATTATCAACAGTGTTATAGGGGGGTCGACTGGTATTTATCTTCGCCGATTATTTACGGAAAGTGCTATAAAATTAAATTAAAAGATTTGTGTTATTATTCTCATTGTTTTAACATTTATTACACATTTTATTCCGTATTTAATTTTGATTTAAAATATTTATATTATTTTAACAATTTTTATCACTTTGATATTGCGTGCTAAAGATCATATTGCATGAGTGATACGAATGGCTTAATAACACACTATATTACATATGAAACATTGCATTTGTGTGGTATGACTGCCTTAAGAGATGGCAAAAAATTTTTTAATTATTTAAATCTATTGTAATTCAAAAATTTTAAAACGTCCTTGAGGATTAAGATGATAAACATACTTTTTTTTCCTGTTGAGATTTACCCAACAATCTATAGAAATAACGTTATTTACAATTGTAAAGGATGCTATCTGTTTCTGACAGTTCGACTCTCTCGACAGGAAATTTAGAGCTGTCATTATGTAAAGATCACGTTGACATACATGTGACAATGTACAGTACATATGAATCGCATTCTTCTCTTCCTCTTTTGACACGTTTAAAGATTCCTCCTCCCCCAAAAAATGAAAAAGACTTCATTTATTAACTTATTGTACTTTTATAACAGTTTTAAATGTAATTTCAAATAATAAAATTAGTACATAATCATAAATTAGCATGCATATGAACTATAGCAGTATGCATATTAATTAAGGAAAATCGTTGGTGTAAATTAGATCATTTAAAACAGTGTTTCTCAACCTCTAACGAATCGTCGCCCCCTTCAACGTAGTATCGCCCCCTTCAATAAAACCGTTACGTAGTATCGCCCTTTCAATAAAACCGTTACATAGTATTGCCCCTTCAATAAAACCGTTAAGTAGTATCGCCCCCTTCACTTCAAAACTCCGATGACGAGAGCCAAGGCTAACGCCAAATCGTACTGCATTGAATAGACTAGTGACTAGTATAATGTTATTTGTTTNAAGTTACTCGTTTTTAGAATATCTATAAAGTCTACCTGTCATTTAAGTATTGAAACAAGATAGATGTACTTGTCTTGTACCTCGTGACAGGCATTATGTAGAAAAATTAGTAAAAGAAATAAATATAATTTAATTATATAAATTTATAATTCGTGTAAAAACAGATTTGAGTGAAAATATTCTGTTTAAAATGTAATTTACTCGTTTATGAAACTTCTTTCATATAAAAATGATGAGTGTAAAAGGCAAATTCTGTATGGAATTATGTAAAATTATTTAAAGTAATTTTATCTTTCGAAGAAAAAAATGCTTTTTTAATTAAATTTGTATTCAAATATAAATTTAATGTCGTTTATTAAGTTAATAATTATGCAATTTGCGACACACAAAAGAGTATAAAAGTATGAAAAAAAAGTCGAAAATTCAAGGTAAAATTTTATTGTATAGTAGTAAATTATATAAGCTTATATTTTTAAAACTGTATTAAAATTCTGAGGAATGAGTTGCTTAAAAACTTGTTATAAGTGCCCAATGTATTCAAATATCACTAAAAACTTGTTGTGCATAAATTAGTTAAAAGTTAGACAATTAAAAAGGAATTATAATTATTAACATATAATTGAATTAATTAATTTTTTCACATATATAATTTGCTACAATTGAAAGTAATCACTTCCTCACTACTATTTACCACTGATTCTTAATATAACTTCATGAAAATTACGAAAAACTTTATATAAATTTATATGAAATCTAATTTTATAAAATTAATTTTAACTTTTTAATTTTGCAAAAGTGATGATAGCATTTTAGTCATTGTAATCGTTGCTTAGTTTCGCTGAATGAGAGTGATCGTATTAATGGATAATAAATAGCCATTGTTGAATAATTGACGATTATTTTTCGTCACCGGTAATTTATATCCTTGAATCTTTAATGAAAATTATCTGAACGATCTTTTTTTTCTGTCTTACTATGTTTATTAAGTGATGCCATTTCCTACTGCTCTGGAAATACGTGACCTTCGATTGAAATGTTAGATAATACGAAGGACGACCTTGATATGAAACACATTTTAAAAATAAATCATGTAAAAACATTATTTTTAAGAATGTATACTTAAAGTTATTCACTTCCTCGTTATAGTTACTAAAAAAAATGTTGGCCAAGTTGGCATTATTTTGGTTGATCCTATGAATCTTCAGAAAGACATTCACGCAACGTTTTTCTACTTGTAAAATTATTTTAATTTATATAATTATAAATTTATAAAGGCTTTNATTGATTAGGATAATCGACGCTCTACTGTAATTTTCTTAACTAAATACACTCTTGACAGATGTTATAAATATGTAAAAGACAGTTTCTATATATAATTATGTATTAACGTTTATCAAATTACAGGATAATTTTCTGTTTAAATTGATCGTTGTAGAAGGATTATAGTTAATAAATAAAAGTAAAAAGTGGCATTAAAATCTACTTTTAAATCATAACTGTCAGCAGCTCGCTTAAAGTTGATTTTAATGTCACTCACCTTGAATAAATAATAAACTATAAGTTTTCATAGATCTATTGACATTAGTTTAGTAATTGGTTAATTATTTGCATATATCAGATATAAATTCCGTTTTTGTGTGTACCAGTTTGTTTTTGTTTTCGTAGAGAAAATTCTTGACAACCTTCATGAGTCATTCAAGAAATCATAAATAAATTCCCTAATTACTATTTTCTTGTAAGTGATCCATTTACTTTACATCAAAATTTTATTACTTTTTAATAAAATTTTTGATCATTTAAATACACTTAAAAATTGGCGAAAATGATACTAATGATGTAAAATAAAAGGAAACGTGTGTAGAGAAATAATAGGAAATTTTATTTGCTTTTCTCGTAATTTATTTTATGAATTCAGTGTTGTATATTTTTCTCAAGTTTTCATAAATAGTTAAATAAAACAATTACTTATTGTGACATCGTCGCAATGCCTGGCTGAAATTTTTAATTATATAATTTTAAAAATCACTCAAATTCTGGTCTAAATCGAAAGTTATCTAATCGGACTTCCAATCCGTAAGTTTTTCACATCTGGTCTCAATTTTCTCCAATTTAACTCCGTTCTCGAGATTAAGAATGGACAGACACACGGACGACAGTGGAAATCTGTAGGTGTGCAGATTGAAAACTACAGTCCAATAATGGTATTTTCCCACATATTTATAGCAGACAAAATAGATTTTTACTTGTAGATTCCTCTGTATTACTTTTGATGCCTTGACAACTTCTTTTGCGAAAAGAATAGACTTTTTTTTTTCAATTTCCAGTAACAACATTACTGGAAAAAGTTTCACTAACTCTCGCTGTTAAAACTGAGTGGAATTACAAGTGACGGTATCCAGTCTTTTGGAGTAGAGCAATTTGTTTTCATAGGTATTCTGTCGAATAAATTAGCACATAAGGAAAGTACGAGTGATATATTTATTTGCCTTTACATTTTTCATGTGGAGAATTTATATGCTAATAAAATTAATATAGAACACGTATCTGTAGTGAACTTTCTAAGAGGTCGTGCACTGAACCATCGTCAGTTTAAATAATTTTCTTATCACATTGATGCCAAGTACGTTGTTTTACTGGCACGATGGTTAATCAAATCTGCAGTTTTACAAAGATTTTACAATCTCTTATCAGAAATATCTTAAATTTGAGGGTAGGAATGGGTTTTATAAAAAAATTATAAATGCTAATAACAAGTAAAATCGTCATTAATCCGACCCTACTGGAGATATACACGACCTCCATTTTCTCCCCATCCCTTCGTTAATCACCAAAATTTAATAGCATTAATCTCTCTAATATACAAATCAACCTGCAAAATTTCAGAACTATTCGACAAAAATGACAGGAGTTGAACAAGGTGAACAAAATCGTGCTTCCCACGCAAAAACATCCATACATACAGAAATTACCCCC